CACTAACATGTCGACATGTGCTAGCGTTTGTAACCTCCCCCACTAGCAGGGTCACGAATAACATGACCACATCGGAGACAAAACAAGCAGAAGTTAACAGGAAAATCACGATTCACAATCACTTTCAGATCATCAGGACAGTCACTTAAATTTCAAGTAGGCATGCTTAATTTCATAAAAAGCACAAAACATTTCACTTCAAATCAGTCATACTTGTGTAAAACGGGTTTAGTCCCGCCACCACTTCAAAAACAAATCAAAACATGCTTGAAAAGTCAAAGGGTGTTACCATAATTTTACTTACCTCACTTGTATAAAACCGAGCACTCAATTCACGCACTAACTGACAGAACGATCGGGAACCTAATCAAAACACCTTAGAATTAATACCGGACAATCACAAATTCAAGTTGAAATCATCATTAGGATCATTCCTAATCACAATGCTATTTCCATAAATCTCCACATGATCAAAAATCTCCAAATTCGTTCTTATATCACAAATTAATCATTTAAATTCCCGTTAAATGTTGGCCCTCGGGGTGTGAACAGTGTCCGTGAACAGTGCACATGAACAGTGCACGACGTGAACAGTAACTCCGACTTTCACAAATTGGCCAAAACACTAGCTAATTCACGAGATTTTCTCTCCAAAATCACCACAACCCACTTCAAGCTAATTCACACTTAAAACCAAGCTTAAAAACATAACTTAATCTACCAAAATTTTTCCCATTTCTCACGGCAGCACAAGGAGAGCATAACTTTGGCAAATCACAATTCACGCACACGGGATTTTCACACAAAACATCACAGCAGCTAATTCAAGCTCAATTCTACTTAATCAAGCTTAAAACACATTTAAAATGCTACTAAATACTACCGGAATTCCTCCCCATTTCTGGCACAATTCGGGCACACACAAGGCAGCAATTAAATGGCTAATTTAGGGCTTAAAGAAGTGGCCATCATACCAGAATTTTCCAGCAAGAACCGGACTTGGCAGGGAGAAAAAGAAGTCGGCGGCAAGCTGCAGGGAACTCACGGACTACCCAAAAATTTAGGGAAATAAACAGAAATTAGCATAACCTAGCCTAAATCAAGGTTAAAGAGATGATTTCTTGGCTGTGGCTTACCCGAAAATGCCCAGAAAATCGCACCCCCAACCAGTAGAAACTCACGGACCGAAGGGAAGAGGAAGGGAGAGCATATCTGGAAATTTCTACTTCAAAGGGAGGGTTCTAGGTCCCAAAATCAGTTCTTTGACAAGAAAAGAAGAGAAAAATAGCAAGCTTTTGCCGATTCCTCAAGAGAGGACTGTCGGCAGCTTGGGGGCTTGT